TTCTACTGAGCTATCTCCCCGGCCCTGAACAACTAATTTGAAGACAACAATATGCAATGTAACAACTATTATTGAATTCCTATTGTTTTGTTTAGTAAAGTTCTGTCTCATTTCTAATGGTTATCTTCACTATCTTTTATTCTCTTTAAAAACTAAAACAACTGTACCAAAAAAAAGAAAACTCAAGAGCAAACTCCAGCAAGGAAGATCTTATCAGCCAGGCCACTGCAACTGAAATGCAAGTACCCACACAATGAAAGGTTAATATATCTTGATTTATTCTTATCAAATTCACCACCAAGACATGTCAGTTCCTCTTTCAATACACATGCACAATCCATTCACTTTGTTGCTAGCACAGCCACATCCACCTCCATTATCTTGCATGTAGACTCCTTTTACAGAAGGTGAGATGACTTTTTGGCTTGCATCCAACCTACCACCACTACCACTTCTTCTCCCTCACACCCACATACCACATACCCTATAGTATCTGTGTCCAGCAGCCACAGTGATATGATAAATCTTTTTAAAATGGATTAAAAACCGGGAATTTTTTAAAAATCCATTTTTAAATCCTGGTTTATATTTGTAACAACATTCTTTCAAGTCCCACAGCACTTTACAACACCCTGTATGATCAGATTCCTACCATGTTTTAAACTTTGCCTTCTTTTAAATATTCTAATATGAGAAACTATTTCCCACCTCAGAGGCATTACACAAGCTCTTTCCGCTGCTTAGCAACCTCTTCAACAAGCCCTTGATCCTCAGGGTTTACGTCAAGCGCCACAAACGAACAGCTTTTTCATCTCTTAGATATAATCTATCATACTGTCACATTTGTTGTTTTTGTACTCATTACCATCCCAAATTATATTGATTTGTTCACTTGTTTAGTATATGCATCTATTCCTCAGGAGGGCAAGAACTTTTGTTTTTTACCATCATAGTATTCTCACGTAGCTAGAAACAGCCTCACATACAGCAAGAGACTCCACAGCATTTGTAAAACAAAAGAATAAACACAGAAAAGTGACATGAAACAAGTCATGTAACAGAAGTGGGTAAATAACCTACCAAATAAGGCAAAAGAAAGTCTACTGTGAGCATCAACAAGTAGACAGGCTAGTGTTACTGGAATCTATTATGCTTAAGCACCAGGAATGTGCTTATCAAAGCTCAATGGAAAGAAGTAGAACAAGTTTATGTCCTATATACAAGCCCACATATATGACATTGTATTCACTTTAGAGAATTCTTTATTCTTGGCACTCAATAAAAAAACCCCTGTAGAAACATTTAAAAATCATTGGTGAGTTTATTTTCTTAAAAATCTTGTACAGTAGTACTCATCTGCAAATGATTAAATTTATACTCAAAACTTTAAACCTCTTCAGTATCAGGTTCTTCCAATATAAGAGGTCAGTCTTCGAGACAGATTCTATTACATACATGTAAGAAGCTGCCTCACATAGTGTTCTTTCTTGGAAACAGCACTGCAACTCAAAGCCAAGAACTATGTAACATTTATGAAAAAAGTCAGCAGCCTCATGTAATTCCTTACTGACTTAAGTTTTGAACAAGGGAGAAAAAACTGTCAGTCACTACTTGCCAGTAATAGAAAGAGCTCTGAATTTTTATTCAAATGTCATTCCACCACAGAAATGAGAAATTTACAAATGTAGGCAATGAAGATAAAAACCGTATCTAACAATCTTATATTTGCTGGAATAAACTCAAGAAATTATAAAATAAACAAGACTCAACTAGTGAAAACAATTAATGACAGGTTAAACAGTCATACTTTAATAACCACTATTTACAGGTAATTTCAAAGTAACAAAAACTCAACAGCTTTTTTAAGTAATTTTCAACAGCAAATCATCACACTTCCAATCAGGCAACACTTACCTTGGTATGGTGACACATTTAGTATTACAATTTTGAGTGGTGATGGCTTTCTCAAGCTCATCTAATCGTCCTGTTTTCTTTAGCTTCTTCACCAGACTTTTCACTGCTTTTTCACACCACTTTTCTTCCTGTCCATTCTGCTCTCCTCCGCCTGCTCCTCCAGACCCACCAGCTGATTTCTTCCATCCCAGAAGTCTCTTCACCACTGGTGGAGTGAATGGCAAGATGGACGACATGCTCTTACTATAGGCAACAAGCCACACTATAGAAAGAGTCTCGGGAATCTACCCTAGAAAAGATAATCCAAAGACTAACTTTAAAACCAAGAAATAATTTCAATATATTATAGAAAGCAAGCTACAAGACAGAACAGAAATTCAAATTACTACTTTCCCTATGTATTTTCTGACATTCTCTTTTCTATTCATGGAAATGTAAGGACTCAAAGTCTTGAGCAAACATAACCTTGCAAGAAAAATCTATCAATATTTTGAAAACTGTTATCACTACCACTACTACTTTATTCTTAACTCAATATCAATGAAGTATTTTCACAAAAGCAAGTTTTCCTCATGTTTAAAACTTCAAATCCATTCTTAAGACTTAAAAAAATTATATTAAAAAATACAAGTTCACTCCCCAACTTAAGTTTTCAAGGCTAAAGCATCTTAAAGCAAAACGAGAAGATATATGAAGAGAAATGCATCAAGTAAACTACAAGAATTTTTTAAATGAAAGTCTATTAAGTGTGAAATTCTTTAAATTAGTTTCACTTTTATTTTTATTATTTAAGATTATAATGGTAATCCCGAAGTATCAAATACTTATCTAGATATCCATTTGAAAAATGAAATTTTCCTCAGACCCTTTAACTTCCTCCTACAAAATAATTATTACCCAAATGTATTTATAAATAACTACATACATAATATGATTACCATTAGTAAACTACCATATAAGCATTTTTCTTTTTTATTCTCCAGAAAAACTGTTATATTTTTTCATTTATTTAGCTTTTTTTTTTTTTTTCCCAGAACAGGGGATTGAACTCAGGCCCTTGCTCTTGCCAGGCAAGCACTTATTCTACTGAGCCATCTCCCCAGCCCCTCATTTGCTTAGCTTTCTAGGCACCTATCACAAATTCTTCTTACTCTCCACATTCTTTGATTAAATTTCCACATACTGGAAAACTCCCACATGGTATGTCAGAAATCAGCTGGCACCCTTTTTCATGAAGCCTCATCCTAAAGTCCTATATACTCGTACTCTAAATTCAACTAATACTCTGACCAGAGGCATACTACTATCCTAGAACCTTTCTTCACCTCTCTCTGGGTTGGAGCACCTATTATATTTTTGTCTTTCTTGGTTCACTCAATCCATTTTTTCAGTGGAATGTGTCATGGGAAAGATATGGGAAACAATGTAGAAATCTTATAGCATTTTACTACACTGGAAATCATTTTTATATATAATGCCATTTACTTTTTTCAAATGACATTGCTTCTTCCACTCATTACAATGATTAAAATGTGGTTCTGTTAAAAGTTTTCTTAAGCAAAAAAAAAAAAAAAAAAAAAAAGCAAACCCTAGATACTGCCATTTGCCTCCATAAAAATTATGGAAATCTTTCACAATCACTTTCATAACTTGGAATCACCTATTACTCCAAATTTGCCTGCCTGACTCAAAACAGTTGGTTTGAGGCAGACTCCAAAACAAAGTCTACACAGTTCACTTGTATATTATGCCTATTCTTTTAATCAGGAGCAGTCCCTCCTCTCTTACCTCTTCCCCTCATGAAACAGGAAAACATGGGTCAGCTGGTCTTCATACAATTTTACTTTCTAGAATTACCTATTTTCCTTGTGTGGCCATTAAATCTTATGCAATAAAGATTAACTCACTTTACTATTTTTGTTACTACTTCTTCACCTCCCATCACCAGAATCTTTTATAAAGTTGTTGGTTTTGTCAATTCAGTGTTTTACAACCACATATATATGCATCTATCCACATTCTCACCACCTTACTTCTATACAGTAGTGCACTATATAAAATGCTATTCTATTCATTTTTTCCCACTAACTTCATTTCCTGCAGTCATTCATCAGTTCACACAGAATTTAGAAAGTAGTGCCCCTCTGTTTCCTAGCTCCCACTGTAGATGCTCTAATCCTATGTAACTTTTATTCCTGATCCTTTAAATGGATTTAAGGTTTTTCTTGTGGCAAAATTTTGTAATACTGTATGTAGATGTGCACCTTTTTCCTTTCCTCTATCTTGAGTACTGGTCAGATCCTAAAGCCTGAGAATTTATTCCTACTTCTTCATGTTCTTCTGTTTGCTCTCCAGTCTCTTACCCAGGACTTAAGACTTCAGCTTTTCTAGTACCATTATGCAAGTAGGCACATTCCTATGATTTGCCTTTCAAAATGCAGGTAACCTCTTTTTCATTTTCTCTTAATTTTTTCTTAGTCCTTTAAATTTGTTTACATTTTATTAAGATATACAAGGACAGAAAATACATATATATAATCTGCCATATTTAATAAAGAACATCCTTATCAGAAACTGAAAATGCCTGTAGTCTTCACACTTAAAAACTAAAAACCGGGCCAGGGAGATGGCTCAGTGGAATAAGCGCTTGCCTGGCAAGTGCAAGGGCCTGAGTTCAACCCCTGGTTCCACCCAATAAATAAATAAATAAATAAATAAATAAAAAAAAAAATTAAAAAAACTAAAAACCACCTAATGCTAAAATCTTGGTTTTAAGTTTATCCTTATTAAAAAAAAAAAATGTTTACATTTTCATTAGTTTGGTCCTAAACCGTAGGGAGCCAGAGAAGCTGAAAAATCAGTCAAAGGTGTATAGGTGGGACTAGGCCTCAGTGCCCAAAACAAACAAGCTACCTCAGTCACTAGGCAACCTTGTGTCACATGTTACTAACTTTGCAAAAGGTATAAATAAACGCAGGTTTCATTGTGCTGGCACGTGAGTCTTGCCCATCAGGCAGACTACCAACCACCTAGCCCAGCTTTTGTCTTCTTGTCTCTCTTTCTCATTCCTGAAGCCGTGTCTCCCCAGGTAGAACTGTTGGCAGTAACATCAACAGATCCCTACATTTGGTACCCCAACAGGATGCCCAGTACAAGGTAAGTGTGGGCAAAGGAATGGCTTCCAAAGAACATGCAAAAGGAAGGGAAGTGGATTGACTGGAGTCAGCAGTAGTCCACACAGGTGTGCATTGGCATTGGCGCACTAGGTTGTAAAACTTGGGGATGGGGCTCACTAGGGCCAGAGAGATATGGGAGCACAAAGAGATACAGCCTTGAGAGAAGCCTAACAGGGAAACGTTCAATTGAGTTAAAAATGGGAAACAAAGAATTTCAAGGATCGTAAACATTTATAAATGTATATAAATATGTTTATTGTTTTCTTGGTTTTTGTATTTGTGCTACTTTCTGAGACTACCATAAAGGACTTGGTGTGGAGTACTGTTTCGAAATAAAGTCCCAAACAAGACACAGAGGGTAAAGCAAAGTAACAGCAGGTAAGAGTTTAAACCCTCTAGCTTTGCTCAATTAGATAAGAAAAGCAAAAGTTCTTTTTAAATTGGGAGCGGCTGGTTATAAGTGGCACTGGGCTGCTGGGGGGAGGGGTACAAACTGGGCTCTGGGAGGCCCCCACACTCAGGTCTTAGGCAGACCCAGCTGGGATTCCCCAGCTGCCCGCCCATCTGTTGGCACCATCCAGCCACAGAAGCTAGTGCATACCACCAACTACAGTACTGTGTGCCCAGTGCTAAAAGAGGGGCATGACTATAGTATGCAGTGGCCTTGAAGGCACTGGCTATGTGCATTGCTGGCATCACAAATTAAGAAAGTCTATGGTTAAAATCTGGGCAAAAACAAAACACTCAATGGGTTTTAAGGCACCACAAGCCACCATCCTGGCCACGGCAGCTCAGAAATTTCTGCTGAGTCACAGATCGGGACTTCAGCCTCAAGGGAAGTAGAGCCATTTTCTTTATCTCCCTTGCAACTGGCACTGAAAAAAGCCAGAAGGGTGAGGGAATCCATTGATGATTTTCAAAATCTTTGCCTTGTTTCTGAAGTTCTAGTTCCTAACAATCCAGGACAAGTTGTAGGACTTCATGAGTCTGTACCTTTTAAAACCTTAAAAAAAATCGAAACACACTGTTGCTACTTATGGCCCTACTGCTCCCTTTACCTTGAGTTTAGTAGAAATGCAAGGACAACAGACTATGGCCCCAAATGATTGGAAAGGAATAGCTAAATCATGTCTGAATCCAGGAGATTATTGTGGAAAGGACGTTTCTTTATTGCAGGGAACAGGCAGCTGGAAATGTGAGGTTCACAACTTAGTCATTACAAAAGATTTGCTAGCTGCAAAGGGTGCTTTTCTGGCACACACAAGCAACTTACTTTTGCATTGCAAATATATGAGCAAAGTAAGATAGCTGCTATTAGGGGCTGAGAGGATCTCCTTTGTAAGACTGAAACATTCTTTAACTTGGCTTCTATTAGGTTAAGCCCTGATGCAACTTTCCAAGATTTTGCTGCAATTTGTTGCAAGCTACTGAGAGAATTATCAGTGACACAGAAGTTAGTAAATTAATAGTTCAACAGTTGGCCTTACAAAATTAATAAATGGTGGAAAAAATCTGTAAGAGCCCAGAAAAAGTGGGCTATACTTCCTGAGATGATTCGGATTTCTGTGGATAATGGCTCCTCATACTTACAGGGGACTGCCTTGGCAGCAGCCAATACTTAGGTTATTCATCCACAGTCTAAAAAAGGGGTAAAAGCTGGGGATGTAGCTCAGTGGTGCAGTGCCTGCCTATCAAGCACAAGGCCCAGAGTTTGGTTCCTGGTACCAAAAAAGAAAATAGTAAAAATAAAAAAGGGGGAAAAGTAAGGTGATTTGTTTCCATTGTGGGGACGAGGGACATTCAGTCCAAAACTGTTCTGCTGTGTCAAAGAGAGCAGAGCCTTAGTCTATCTCTTCACTAAAACCTTCCCAGTCCATGTACTTGATGTAGAGGAGGGTACCATTGGGCAAGTGACTGTAGATCTAAAACTGATGTGGAAGGCTGACCCATTCAGGGAAACTTCCAATGGGGCCCACCTTGGCCCCATCAAACAATGGGAGCACTTTCCCCTCCCTAGCCACACACGTCTTTGACCCTTGGAGAGCAACAACTGATAGTGGAGGCTTGGACATCAGTTCCTCCTCCATTTTCCTATTGACTCCTGACATGGGGC